TTCAGACCTTCTCACTCGCTTACTGCACTCTTTGGTAATCTGACATCAAAGATTTTGACCCTCTTAACTACTTTTTGAGCTTACAATTGCCGATGACTCCACTGGTTTCAACATCTACCAGCTTAAGTATACTCATGATCATCTTCCAAAGTTGATATGGTATCCTGCAAACCAGCTTCTACGAATGATTGCTCTCTTCTTGCCTAGTCTACTGTATTGCGAGTTAGTTGGCTCTTTACATTATCTATCCATCCTAACATCTCTTTTGTTGTCATCGTTGTTGCCCAATATACGAGTTTCCTTCACACTTCTCATGAATGCCGCCAAAGAGATTCTCTGCTACATCAAAGATACTATGGATTTCAATATCTCTATGACTCCTCAAGTCTTTTCTTCTTCATGGTCTAATTATTCTGATGCCAACTGGCACTACTACAAAAGGGGGCTATAGTGTCGGAGGGTGGTGTCGCTTTAATCTAATATAGTGGCGGATTAGGCAGTTGCGACACTAACTGAACATGACGTCGGATTTACTGTCGCTTATAAGCGTTATTAAATGTTTATGTCGCTTTTAAACCGACGTAAACATATATTTTAATAATTTTTAAATACTAGTGTCGCTTTTAAACCGACGTAAACATTATTTTAATAATTTTTAAATACTAGTGTCGCTTTTAAGCGACATAAAGTGTGTGTATATATATATATATTAAATTATATATATATTAAATTAAATTTTATATCCCTAAAAACTATAATAATTATATATATATATATATATATTAAATTAAATTTTAAAAAATTGGTGATCATTGGATTGACTTAAATATACATACGATTCAATTTCTTAAGTGTTATACATACAAAATAAATAAATTTAAATCTACTTAATATATATATATATATATATATATATATATATATATACACACCATTGAACTTGATTGGATACGAATTCTATTAAACTAATTTCGACAGTTATAAACGAAAAATCACGATTTAACGGTTATTTTAACTCCGATTTTGATGATTTTTTACAGCTACACTCCTTGATCCTATATGAATACAATGAATGGATCCGATCTTCAAATTAAAATATTTACACAAGTGGATACCACAAAATCTTATGTTATACTTAATGAAAGTATAAATAAACTCTAAGTGTTAGTCAATCTATTGTTTTGATGGGATACGAATTCTCCGAAACTAATTTCAACGATCCCAACCGTCAAACTTGTTTGCATATGCTTCGAGATCACATCAGCAAAAAATCACAAAAAACAAACATTCAGATATCAAGTAACGGGACAAAGCTTTTCGACGGTTATAAACGAAAAATCACGATTTAACAGTTATTTTAACTCCGATTTTGATGATTTTTTACAGCTACATTCCTTGACCCTATATGAATAGAATGAATGAATTCGATCTTCAATTTAAAATATTTACACAAGTAGATACCACAAAATCTTATGTTATACTTAATGAAAGTATAAATAAACTCTAAGTGTTAGTCAATCTATTGTTTTGATGGGATACGAATTCTCCGAAACTAATTTCAACGATCCCAACGGTCAAACTTGTTTGCCTATGCTTCGAGATCACATCAGCAAAAAATCACAAAAAACAAACATTCAGAGATCAAGTAACGGGACAAAGCCTTTCGACGGTTATAAACGAAAAATCACGATTTAACGGTTATTTTAACTCCGATTTTGATGATTTTTTACAGCTACACTCCTTGACCCTATATGAATACAATGAATGAATTCGATCTTCAAATTAAAATATTTACACAAGTAGATACCACAAAATCTTATGTTATACTTAATGAAAGTATAAATAAATTCTAAGTGTTAGTCAATCTATTGTTTTGATGGGATACGAATTCTCCGAAACTAATTTCAACGATCCCAACCGTCAAACTTGTTTGCATATGCTTCGAGATCACATCAGCAAAAAATCACAAAAACAAACATTCAGAGATCAAGTAACGGGACAAAGCTTTTCGACGGTTATAAACGAAAAATCACGATTTAACGGTTATTTTAACTCTGATTTTGATGATTTTTTACAGCTACACTCCTTGACCCTATATGAATACAATGAATGAATTCAATCTTCAAATTAAAATATTTACACAAGTAGATACCACAAAATCTTATGTTATACTTAATGAAAGCATAAATAAATTCTAAGTGTTAGTCAATCTATTGTTTTGATGGGATACGAATTCTCCGAAACTAATTTCAACGATCCCAACGGTCAAACTTGTTTGCATATGCTTCGAGATCACATCAGCAAAAAATCACAAAAAACAAACATTCAGAGATCAAGTAACGGGACAAAGCTTTTTCGACGGTTATAAACGAAAAATCACGATTTAACGGTTATTTTAACTCCGATTTTGATGATTTTTTACAGCTACATTCCTTGACCCTATATGAATAGAATGAATGAATTCGATCTTCAATTTAAAATATTTACACAAGTGGATACCACAAAATCTTATGTTATACTTAATGAAAGTATAAATAAACTCTAAGTGTTAGTCAATCTATTGTTTTGATGGGATACGAATTCTCCGAAACTAATTTCAACGATCCCAACCGTCAAACTTGTTTGCATATGCTTCGAGATCACATCAGCAAAAAATCACAAAAAACAAATATTCAGAGATCAAGTAACGGGACAAAGCTTTTCGACGGTTATAAACGAAAAATCACGATTTAACGGTTATTTTAACTCCGATTTTGATGATTTTTTACAGCTACACTCATTGACCCTATATGAATAGAATGAATGAATTCGATCTTCAAATTAAAATATTCACACAAGTGGATACCACAAAATCTTATGTTATACTTAATGAAAGTATATATATATTTATTAAGTAGATTTAAATTTATTTATTTTGTATGTATAACACTTAAAGAAATTGAATGGTATGTATATTTAAACTGATCCAATGGTCACCAATTTTTAAAATTTAATTTAATATATATATATATATATATATAATTATTATAGTTTTTAGGGGTATAAAATTGTTACATTAATATATATAATTATTATAGTATTTTTTAGGGTTATAAAAATTAATATATATAAAATTATAGTATTTGAAATATTAGGCGGGAAATTTCCCGCTTGTTTGAATGGATGGAGAGACTTAGTGTCGGTTTTAACCGACGCTAGTGTCATTAAAGCGACGCTATGTGAATTTCAAAAAGTGTGTCAGAAGTTGGCGTCGGTTAAAAGCGACGCTAGTTTCATTAAAGCGACGCAAGTTTCATTAAAGCGACGCTATGTGAATTTCAAAAAGTGTCAGAAGTTTGTGTCGGTTTAAAGCGACGCTAGTTTCATTAAAGCGACGCGAGTTTCATTAAAGCGACGCTATGTGAATTTCAAAAAATGTGTCAGACGTTTGCGTCGGTTTTAACGGACGCAAACTAAGTACCCATATTTAAACCCCTCTCTTTCCCATTTCAACCGTGCTTTCATTTCTCCCCCAATTTCAGACTTTCTTCTTCTCCTTCCCCATTTCATCTGTGCGTCCCCTTCTTCCTCCTTTTCAGTTTTTCCTCAACTCCTTCCCCGTTTGCTTTGGATCACCAGTTTGAAGATCAACATTCTGAAGAACTCCAATTTGAGGAGGAAGATCTTGAAGGTGGTTCATTTTTAAATTATTATGATTATTAATTTTAGTTTCTATTTTGTATTCTAAATAGTTTTATGCTTAAATTGAAAATTTATTTTTGTTTCTTGGTTTTTAATTGTTTTTTTTGTATTTATGCATGTTGGATCTGAAGAGCAAGGACACTGGAAATCGCAGATCCATAATTTTTTAAAGGTATAAAACCTGAGTTTAATCTATAGAGATTTGAGCCCTAATGTTGAAGTAGTAAAGTATTGGAGCATTGATCTGATGGCAAGCATGGCAGCATGGAGTTGCTAGTATTATATATGGCACTATGGAGCTACAAAATCTGTGGTCTTCGACAAAGGCAAGCACAGGAAAGCATGGAGGATGAATTTTTGTAAATTATATGGAATGTTAGATGTAAAACATTTGTATATTATGGCACTATTTTTCTTTTGAATTATTTTTATTATTGTTTGTTTTGGCCTAAAATTGAAATTTATTATTTCGATTATATAATTTTTTTGAGTTATAATTATTTGAGAACGAATACAGAAACAGATTGCGACTTTTTTTTAATTATTATTATCAAAGGTGGTGTCGCTTTAAACCGTCACTAGTTTGCATATTTTATTTATTTAATTGTTCTCTAACGTCGCTTTAAACCGTCACTAGTTTGCATATTTTATTTAGTTAATTGTTAACTAGCGTCGCTTTAAACCGACGTTAACATCAGCGTCGCTTTAAACCGACGCTGCGTAGTGGCGGATTAAGCGAACAAAGCGACGCTGAAGCCCTTTAGTGACGGTAGCAATGGCGTCGCTATTCCAATCCGACATTGCAGTGTTTAATGTCGGATTTTTGCCAAATTTCCGACAAAAATCGGGGTTTCTTGTCGGTTTTTGGTCCGCCGGTGATAGCCTATATTGTAGTAGTGTGGGCGGATTGTCTGAATACTCGCCATTCTATATCTGACTATCGAATCTTTCTCGCCATCAACTTGTATCCTGGTGTTCTAAGAAGCAAGCAACCGTTGTCTGCTCTAATGCCGAACCTGAATATCGACCTCTTGCTCACGCCTGTGAACAACATGGCTTTGCTTTCTTCTTGGTGAGCTTTGTGTTCACTTGCACTTTCCAGTTTTGCTTCATTGTGACAATTATAGTGCCACTTACCTTGCTTCATTGCGACAATTATAATGTCACTTGCCTTGTTTTTGTTGTAGATCATCTTTTATCACTTGGCATTTACGTGGAGGAGCATTCCTAGAACTAATCCGCGTGCTGCTTTCTAACAAAAGCTACGTGGCATCTTGTGGACCGGGGTAATGTGTCCAAAAGTAAATCCTTCCTTCCAATCAACTATTAAAGCGCGCCAACCATACACGGTTTGAACTCTCCGACCTTCGCTAGCTTCCCTCTATCCAAACCCGACAATGTCATCCGGGTCAAGTTCTCTAATGTGGTTCCGGAAGGGCCTCAGGATCCACGACAACCCGGCCCTCGAGTACGCCTCCAAAGGCTCCGATTTTTTATACCCGGTATTCGTGATCGACCCGCACTACATGAAGCCCGACGCGGACGCTTTCTCACCCGGGTCATCGAAAGCCGGCCTTAATCGGATCCGGTTCCTGCTCGAGAGCCTTTCGGATTTGGATTCGAACCTCAAAAAGCTCGGGTCCAGATTGTTGGTGCTCAAAGGTGAACCCAGCGAGGTCCTCAATCGTTGCCTGAAGGAGGTAATTAACTCTCTCTCTCTCTCTCTACAATTTCTAATTTTTTGAGTTTATTTTTTATTTTTGGGTTTTTGGTTTTGGTTATTTTTTGAGCAGTGGGATGTGAAAAGGCTTTGCTTTGAGTACGATACAGAACCATATTATCAAGCTCTAGATGTTAAAGTTAAGGTATGCAGGTTTAGATTTTTGTATTTGGAAATTATATTATAATGCCCATGTAAAATTATATGATTGATTGTAGAAAAGCTTGAATCTTTTGTTAAAATGGTGAACTTACTTAATTTTTGCACGATTGTATGCTAAAAATCTCAAATGGGGCACTTTAAGATGATGTTAATTAGTGATGTTCTGGTAACTGGAAGAGGTTTTGTTTTGTTGGTATTGACAGGGGTATGCATCTGCGGCTGGCATTGAGGTTTTTAGTCCCGTAAGTCATACGCTCTTCAATCCGGCGGATATTATACGAAGGGTGAGTTTTTGAATTGTTTTGTTATTCTTTTTGTTATTGAGAATTTGAGAGGGTTTTTAAATGCTTCTTTGAGGGGTCTGGATTTTCTTAATTTAAGTACTGATGATTGGTTAAATATATTTGGTGTCTTGAAGAATGGTGGCAGGCCACCTTTGACTTATCAATCATTTGTGAAGCTTGTTGGGGATCCCTCATGGGCATCGTCCCCTCTTTCTATTACACTTTCTTCACTTCCTCCAATTGGGAGTTTTGGAAGATGTGAGATTTCAGAAGTTCCAACAGTTGAAGAACTTGGCTATGAAGAGACACAACAGGTTTGGAGTACTTTTTTCAACGGCACGTCGTTAGCACCCCTTTTCATAAGCAAATACTTTTGTGCAGGACGAACATTCTCCCTTTAAAGGTGGTGAATCAGAAGCCTTGAAGAAGTTACGAGAATCAATTGAAAAGAAGGTGAAATGCAGAACTTTCTTGTGGACATTTATTAGGCTTTACATCCATGGCTTGCTGTGATATGTCCTTAGCAACGACTATATACATCAAGTCATGTATGCTAGGCTGAACCAATTTCCTCACTGTTCAGCGAATGAATTATTGACACTCTGGTAGTGCATATACTTCTCCATGATGGCTATCATGAACCAACATTCTTCCCTCTGGTTTTGATGATTTTTACCTGGTTCATGGATGCCTATCTACTCTTGTGATTTTATTGTAAATATTGGTCTTCAGCTGAATTCAACTTGTTAGCATGTCAATTTTGGTGTCTGAGTCTTTCTGTTCTTTAATTGGTGTTGTAGGAGTGGGTGGCAAATTTCGAAAAACCTAAGGGTGATCCATCAGCGTTTTTAACCCCGGCAACTACTGTTTTATCTCCTTACTTGAAAGTGAGTTGGAAATTTACATGTTTTATATTTCTTTAAATTGTTTGAAATATAAACTGTCTTGGCAGTATTTCTTACTGCTTGTTACATTGTTTTCACCTTTTTTTTTTGTCTTTGGAAGTTTGGTTGTCTCTCTTCAAGATATTTCTACATATGCCTTCAAGATTTATATAAAAATGTAAAAAGTCATACTTCACCACCGGTATCTCTTGCTGGACAGGTCAGTCTTCCTCAACCAGTTATATTGTATCTTGGAATTCCTCATTCTAGCTTTAGAAATTTGAAACAATGTCTCAACCCTTTTAGTTATTATGGCGAGACTTTTTCTACACGGTTGCATTTGGCACTCCTAATTTCGATCGGATGAGGGGAAACAAAATATGCAAGCAGGTAAACTCATGGTTGGTATCCAATTTACTTCTATTACTTCACTCCTTTTCTGTATTGTTCAGAAATTGTTATCCTCATATAGTAGGATACTATTTAGACAACTGACATTTATACATGAGAGTGAATGATACATTATGTTGAGAGAGAACAACAAATCTAAACGATAGGGGTTTTGTTAGAAACACTGGTTTATTGTGTGTTTGTGTGATAAAACCTTGTAAATCTCTTTATAGTTATCAAATGCAATGTACTTTTCAGCAGTAAAGTTAATCACATATCTTGATAAAACAAGATGATTTTTTATCTTTATGAAACTGATGAAGATGAAGTATCTGTTTGCTTCTGTATATGTAATATATCTTTGGTGACTGATAATTCTTGTAGATACCTTGGAATGATGATGATGAACTGCTGCAAGCTTGGAGGGAAGCTAGAACAGGATTCCCTTGGATCGATGCCATCATGATCCAGGTTGGTCTGTGGCATGGTGGAACCAGTCTTCTTAGATATGGTTATATTAATTCCCCTTGTATTCAAATTGTCCTTTTCTTCTTATTTAGCATTCTATTTGGTCCATATATGTAATCTGTTGTAGCTCCGTAAGTGGGGTTGGATGCACCATCTAGCACGACACTCTGTTGCATGTTTTTTGACTCGGGGTGATCTGGTAAGGATTCCCTTACTCTTCTCATCCAGTAACCTTTATTCAGTTTCCTAATAGTATATTTCATTTCTGATACCATTTGTTTCTGCTGTAGTTTGTTCACTGGGAAAAAGGCCGTGATGTTTTCGAGAGGCTTCTGATTGATTCAGACTGGGCAATTAATAATGGAAACTGGCTATGGCTATCGTGCTCATCATTTTTCTACCAGGTGTGAAGCATCTATCACCATTATTTGCTAGTTCTTATAGAGTTGCATATAAGCTGGGAAGTGAGTGACATCTCAGCTTTTAAGATATAAATGGGTTCTTTATATTTTGCACTTGATTGATATATGATTGGCAATGACTGTTGATTTCAACATAGACTTATAACACTGCTAATGATGATACCTTTTCTGGATACATGAGTTGTGATTTTCTAACGGTGAGCATTCATCTTAAAACTAAATGTGAAAGGTTGTTTTGGTATGAATATATGTATAAATGTTTATATGCAATTCCATCTTTCACATAGTGTAACGAAGTAAGCTTTGTGTGATTGGGTGCTGGGAGTCATGATTTTCTATTGTGAATATTGATGGTTTTGCAGTGATGTTTAGTGACCCTTTGATGAAGATTTTTTCATTTGAATTGTTTCCATTCTGACCAGTATAACCGCATCTACTCTCCAACCTCGTTTGGAAAGAAGTACGACCCAAATGGGGATTACATTAGACATTTTCTCCCCGTACTTAAAGGTATGTTACATTCCTCTCATTTCCTGCATATTCATTATGCTGACTACACTGTCTTGCATGAAATGCATAACCAATTTTCATCTACCAGAAATGCCAAAGGAGTACATTTATGAGCCATGGACGGCTCCTGAAAGCATTCAGAAAAAGGCAAAGTGTATAATCGGAAGAGATTATCCAAAGCCAGGTCAGTTCTGTTAACCTTCTGTTTTGCAGTATGATCAGTGCTTAAACTGGAGATTAATATGTCAGGTTATGTCTGAACTATAGACTCATGGAATGGATTGTACTTATGCTGTTCTGCATAGTAATGTGTGTTTTTGTGCATACTATTGCCTGCACAGTAGCTTATGCATCGAATAACCTGTTGCAGTTTGAATAATCCTGTCCTTTTTCCTTTGTGAGAATGAATGCAAAATGAGTACTATTGTGGAGTATTTGGAGGATGAAAGTTGTCAAATTTTGGTCATGTGGGGAATCAACCCATGGTTGAATGCCGCGTTGCAATTTTTTTACAAGATTTTATTCCTTTGGTCATGGGGCGATACAGAGGGTTTTTAGAGGCCTAAAAACTTGGAAGACTGATGAGCTTTGAACTTCGAATAATTTAGAAACACAGTATCTCTATCTAACTTCATTGCTTATGTCGTTGTAGTTCTTTGTTTTCTTACTCTGCACCTATTTGTATTTCAGTGGTTGCTCACGATTCTGCAAGCAAGGAGTGCAAGAGGAGAATGGCTGAAGCATATGCATTGAACCAGAAGTTGACTGGCTTGGTGAGCGAAGAAGATTTAAGAAACTTGAGGAGAAAACTGGAGAAGGACGAAAAGCCAGAGGTAAAAAATAAACGGCAAAGAAAGCTAATTGGCTGAGGTCTATGTCGGTTGTCCGACCCTCCTCATAGAAAAAACGGATCCCTTGTATTTGATCTCACCCAACCCCACATTCCTCATACCCCTTTTAAGTTTGATGATACGAACGCCTGCTGACAAAGAAAGATTCTACTTAAATTTGGTAGGTTTTCAGAAGTTCAAGGTTGTAAATGAGCCAACGCCGGAACTGAATGTCATTGTGCCCAAGTTTGGCTTGTGTAATTTTTCCCCAGCTCGAGTGAGCTTAAAAATTGCAAGCCCGATACCGAGCTCGAGCTGTTTCGAGCTATTTTAATACTAGGTTGGTTTGATTGCACAAATGTTTTACCCCTTGGTAGTGCGTGTTAGTAAAAGAATCTAAACTGGATGTTAATAGAACTCTCTTTATCAATCAAAAGAATGTGAAAAGACTATCCAGTCTATCAATTGCGTAATATTTTACCCTCTGGCAGTCCACGTTAGTCAAAGAATCTAAACTATATATTAATATAACTTTCTTTATCAATCAAAAGATGATGAAATGACTATTAGTCTACTATTACAACAAAAGAGTTAAGGGCAGTAATGTAATTTTACAAAATAAAAGGTTGTTTTCTGTTTAAACATCATCTGCAGGTTACATGAAATTTTAACATCTCTAATTTAAAAAACAAATTAAAAAAAAAAATTAAACTTCTCTCTTCACTCCAACATTCTCTCACTCTCTTCCGCTCTCCTTCAATTCTAAAAATAAATATAAAAAATTTCACATACACATTATGTGTGGACATATACTAGTATATATAACATAAACAACGCAACACAAAATTTTCAAACACAACACTTGAAATAGAGCCCGATAGCAGGTTAGGTCATCCGACGTGGTTTCTTTAGAAGTAAAAGAAAACTGGAGGGTACAATGTTTCAAAAGCAATAATTCAACACCTTATCTTCATACAAGGAAACATCTTGCATAAAATAAACGTATAGCAATATCTTACCTCTAAAAAGTTTTGAAGTAGATACTAACACAAATGAACAGTTCTGCAATGAGCCTTGGTTTTTCAAATTCTGTATGTGATTTAAGCGACGATTTAAAAGTCTCATTTGACTATTTTTACCGCACCAGGATTCTCGCCGGATCCATTCCCTAGGGATCCCGCAATTCTATCCGTTCATTGTATATCGTGCGGTCAGTTTTCGTTAGGTACTATTTACTTTTGAATTTTAAAATTTAAAATTTAAATGATTTGTGACCGCACGATATAAGATGAACGGACAGAATTGTGAGATCCCTAGGATCCCTAGGGAATGGATCCGGCGAGGATCCTGGTCCATTTTTACCATATTCCACAAAAAAGAAGAAACTTTATCAAAACTGTCATTTCTAGGTTTATCTTTTTGTTTTGTTAATTGAATTTGTTGAATTTGTGTCTCTAAATACGTATTAGACAAGAAATAAAAAAAGTATTATTCTTGTAACACATTTAATCAAGAGTTGATGACATGTATTTTTTTAATTTATTATTACATGTCAAGCTTGAATGATCGAGCCGAGTTCAAGTTTATTTTGAGCTGCTCACTGCCAACCACAGCCCAAACCTGGTGCGAGCTCGAAGTGTTTTGAGCCGGTTTACAATCCTAAATGAGTTAGTCAAGCTACTTTCACAAAGAATAAGATCATATGCATTGAAAGCTGTACTTACATAAGGTCAAATGATATCCAAATATAATAAGGCTCGTTTTGTTTAAAAATGCTCATCCTTTCCGTCTCAAACTGCTCGACTCAAGTTTCTTTCAATTGGGAAGAAATGGCTAAACAATCTTCATTGGAAACCTAACCAAGAGTCCATTTTACCGAAGGTAAAAATGACAGGACCCGTAAACATCCCATCCCAAATTGGCAAATTCCAGCACGTGCACCCCAACTTCCCACGTGCGAGGTGAATCCCTACCCGCAAAGACCCGGCTCCATCATCCTCTCTTCCGGACAAGCCCGAAGACCCGTTGGACTCCTCCCAACCAGCCTCCCACCATTTTCCCACCCCTAAGCAAATCCCCATTTTCTCGAGAAACAAACAGAAAATTATCACAAAAGGAGATCAAGAGATCCAATCTCTTCGTCTCCAACACCAAAGGGGTGGCCTGACATTAAAACACACTCACCACCACAACAATCAGAACCATGTGGCGGAGACTGCTCTCTTCCTCTCAGCTCAAAACCCTAACCCTAGCCGCCGCCGCTCCATGCCGATCGGCTGGTGGACCCGCCCTGTCTCTCCTCCTCAAGCCCCTTCCTGTCCTTCCTAGCTACTTCAGCACCACTGCCGAAGCTGGTAATCTCTTCTTCTTCCTCATCGCAGACCCTTGTTTTTCCTCTCAGATCTTTGTCCGATGAGCGGGATTTTGATTTGAGTGTTTTGTTGCAGTGACGACGGGTGTGAAGAAGGTTGAGGACGTTATGCCCATTGCCACTGGCCACGAGCGAGAGGAGCTTGAAGCTGAACTTGAGGTAACACTTTTTTTTAATTAATTTATGATTTTGATCATTTTTTTTCCTGAGGAGACTGTTTGACTGCTGAGAAAATGTAGGAAAAAATGAGTTAGTGAGCAAGTGACAAATTGTACCTATTTCTTTGGAATTAACTTAACTAGTTGAAATCTGATTGACGATTTACACTTTCCTGTGTCATTTTCATTAACCAATACTTCGTTGGGTTTTAGAAGTTTGATGCATTTTCTTGATCTTTTTCCTCAGGGAAGGGATGTTCTCGAAATCAACTATCCTGTTGGTCCTTTTGGCACAAAGGTCAGTGCTATCTCGTGAAATTTAGATTGCGTAACAGTTTCAAAAGTTATCTGTCACTTGATTTGTGGAGCCTTCTGCTATGCTATATGACGGTCAGCTAGAAATATATCATGTGGAACTGGAAACGGATTATTCCTGTAATAGTATTATTTTGGAACTAGAACTGGAAACGGCTGGTCACCGCCCCGATTAATCCCTAGGCGTTTTAAAAATAAAAAAGGCCACCTAGACTCGCCCAGGACCCTGCCTAGGTTGACATAAGCGGCTAGGCGGACCTAGGTATGCCTAGGCTGTCTGGGTGGTTTTGTGACTTTTTTTTTGCTTTTTTTTATTTATTTAAGAAAATGACTTCTGGTCGCGACTCTCACTTATAAAGAAAATAGATAACTTCCATTTTGCATTTTATGTTTTCAATAAATTGTTGGATACATGGATGAACACTCATTATGTGCTTGTTCCCCATATTTTTACTTTTTACTATGTTCTTGTACTTTATAATTTATATACCATTCTATTTTGCAATTTATGTTTCTCAGTACAATTATGTATAGTTTTTTAAATTTAAGTAAAAACTTATTTGTAAGTTATATAATAAATTTAATTAAAATATAAAAAAAACCTCCTTGGCGCCCGCCTAGTCCCCTACCTCCCGCTTGATTAGCGCCTAACGCCTTTTAGAACCTTGAATTTTATAAAATAGTTTCAGTTCTTCTATTTAAGCATATTCTTTTATTAAATAAAAAGATATGCATACCTGTTAGTGTTAATTTTCATAATTCCTAATTGGACAGCATATTAAGATTTTTACTTTTGTAAATAATAAATTATTTACATGTACATTGTTCTGGGTTGAACTAAGGAGATAATATAAAAAGTTAAAAACTGAAACCTCAAAGCATCTATGGAGATAATATAAAAAGTTAAAAACTGAAACCTCAAAGCATCAAATGCGGTAGTGGCTTAAATGGACCAACCAATAGGGCTTCGGTTCAAAGTTCAAACATCTACAATCTGAGGCACATATCAAAATCATATTTTTGAAGTAAGTATAGAAGTCATTCTACTTTAATTCTGGTTTTGTAGCTAAAGACCAAGATGTATTCTTGGTAATGGGTTTGGACTGGACTGGACTGATTGAGTCTGGTTTCCGGAAGCCATGCAAATGAATGATCCAGGATTATGCAATAGGTTATTTCAAATTTGTGTGGGAGGTTCAAGTCCTGACAACTTTAGAATACCAAAATAAAAATTAAAAAAATGATTGTTTGGTTAAGGTTGCTATTTGGTTAAAGTTTATGCAGCCCTTTTAAGTGCGATATTGACTGTTGTTGTGCTAATTTGTGTTTTGTTTTTTTTTTTAAGAGAGAGGGAGGGAGGGAGAGAAAAGGGGAGGGGGTGTTGAACTAGTTTTGGAGTATACACACGTACTGTTTTTGTAAAACATATAGTTGAGCACCATCACAATTTTCTTTTCAGATAAATTAAATGAACACATACTTTGTATAATTACATAATGTAAGCACTGTTTGGTACCACTCCTTAATTTTTGTAAATGTCCCTAATTCGTCCCAGTTTGGCTCTTTACAGAGAAATGCTCAATTTGAGTCTATCGGGCATGGACTGGAAGAGAGAAGAGTACTAATTGTTTTCATATATTTGATTTTATGAGAATTGTTTGTCTCTGAAGAAAAATGGAAACGAATCTGGATTTGATTTTTGGTGGTGGGAAACTGAACTAAATCAGTTTCTATCCTTATCATTAGGTTGCAATTTATATGTTCTTAACCTTCTTTAAGGGAGGGGGAAGGATTAATTTAATCTTGATTTTGCCACAAATGTTTTGATGTGTATACTTGTCTCTAATTTTATTATAAAGGAAGGGGGAAAGAGAGATGAAATTGTAACTTATGTATTTTTGGCTTTTAGGAAGAACCTGCGGTTGTCAAGTCCTATTACGACAAGAGAATAGTTGGATGCCCTGGTGGTGAAGGCGGTGGGTACTTCTATCTTCATTGTTTCTCTTCTCTCTGTGTGCATATGTATTCTTGCTTGCTGAATCTTGTAAAAAAAAATTCTTTTGGATTATGTTGCTATCAGTTTGATGTTTTTTTTTTGTCGGTATTTTAATTGCAGAGGATGAGCATGATGTTGTGTGGTTTTGGCTGGAGAAAGGCAAGCCGCATGAATGTCCAGTGTGCTCACAATACTTTGTGGTAAGTGGAGGCTTAAACTTGATGTGATAATTTTTTTTCTGCTCCCTGAATTGGACCGGATGGAAACAAATCTAAATCCAGATATGGACTTTTACGTTGTTACATGGATTATGATCCAACGGCATGTGGGTCTACATGAAGACACGTGCACGTGTGAGATGGGTCGGGGGACTGCAACTCCACATGGTGTGATGTCATGGAGATGGTAGCTCTAGAAATAGAAGAGTGTTTGAGCTCACGGGCATCTATAAGCTGAGCTTCATAGGTTCATATCTACCATGGTTGGAACAACTGGTAGTGTTTTGTTCCACAACCTTCA